GGCAACTTTCTTGTGTGTTAGGGAGAACCTGGATAATGGGTGAAGAAAAAAGGAAAATGATGAAACTTGAAAGGCTAAGACAATCCACATAATAAGGAGATGACAGTGGGCAAAGAGAGAAAAGCTCTGTTGACTACAGAGGACAGTAAAGGCAGAGAGTGACTCAACTACTGCAGTGCAGTAGAATAGAGGAGAATGGGAATTTTAACAAGTGGTGCTGTAGGTTATGAATTGGATCACCCTCAAGAGATACAAGTAAAAATTGGGATTCCTTTTTGAAATTATTTTTGATATTTGGTATTTGGGTTGTGGGGCCCCAGAATATATTCAGGCTACATATCCTGTAACTTTCACAGGATCCATCATGGTGCCAGTGAATAGGTGCCCTATTAAGCAACATTCCAGGCCCTGCAGACAGAGCAGATGTGGTTCTCAGGCTGTGGGACCCTGCAAAAAGACAGAAACATTAAGCTTTTCCTCTTACCCCAGGGTTGTATGTCTTAAAAACATTCCCTAATCTGTGACTTCAAGTTACAAATGCCCTAGGAGTTAGAATTGGTTAAGGGGCTTGACAGATGGAAAAAATGAGGCCCAGGGAAGTTAATCAACTTGCTGGAAGTCACAGAGCAGGTTTTAGGACTGGCTGGAACTAGGAATCTGTCTTGTCCAGGGTTTTGTCCACAGTCCAGGGATGCCTTTATAGACTGGGCCAGATAGCCATATGCGTATAAATAGGGTTATGATGAGAGAGAATGGGGGGGGGGCTGGAAGACTAGGGATTCTGACCACCCCTTCCTCTGTTCAGAGCTGTACCAGATGAGGAGCCAAGCCTACCTTCCCAGACCTTATGGCTTCATTGGGAAGTGAGCCAGATACAGGAAGAAGTCCAATGGAAAGTTGGAAGCAAGTGGTGCAGTGGTGTGGTGGAAAGAGCCTGGACTGGGAATTAGGAGACCCGGGCACCTCTTGCAACTGTCACTCACCAGCCACATAATTTTAGGCAATTTCATTTCACCATTATGGGCCTCCATTTCCTCACCTGTGAACATTCTATCTCTTAAAAACAAAAGCTCTATAGTGTTACATATAAGAGCAAATTAATGCAGTAACTAAATATATTCTGTGAGTGCTGTCCAACGCTTGCCCCCCCACCCCAGCCCCAAGGACAATCTCAGAAAGGCTTTTGACTTTAGTTGATGACAAGAGTTAAATATTCCCAAGACTCAGGGCCAGCTGGGTGGCTCAGTTGGTTAGAGCTTGAGCTCTGAGCAACAGGGTTGTTGGTTCAATTCCCATATGGGCCAACGGGTGGCCAGATGGCTCAGCTGATGAGAACGTGTGTTCTCTGGTGCCTTGTCTCTGACAGCCTCCCCTGGGCTAATGAACTCTGCCCTCCTTCCCTAAGAAAACCAGAGCTAAGTGAATATCTTTCTCTCAACAAAACAAGCCTGCTACTTAATCTATCTAATAGATATCTTCCTGATAAACAAGAGCCTGGAGATAAACTCACCAAACCATCTTGTTTTACATTTGAAGACTCTAAGGCCCAGAGACAGCGTGAATAGGCCAAAGTCACATTCTCTTGACTCAGGTCAGTCTACTTCCTTTTGGAACTTGGCGAGTTTATTAGAAATGGGTTGTTCGAGGGCCGGCCAAGTGGGACATTGGTTAAGAGTTGGCTTGGGATGCCAGCTCTGAGCAGCAGGGCCCCGGTTCGGATCCCACATGCGGACCAGTGACTGCTGCACCCTCTATAGCTAAGATGTCATGAACAACAGCTCGACCTGGAGCTGGGCTGCCATGTCTCCGGTGACAGCGTAGGCTGCAGCCCCTGCTGCAGTGGGCTGTTGTAAAGCTACCGTGAGTGGCCGGCAGCCAGCGTGAGCTGCCGTGAGCCACTGTGATCAGCAGTCCAATGGCCGGCGAGCGACTGCCTCACCCAGGAAGAGACCAATGATCACAATACCAACATGGGCCAGTGAAGTGACGTCCTCCACAACTAGACTGAAGAACAAAAGGACAGCAACTTGTTTGCTCCCCTTCCCTGATTCTCCAACGCTGTTCCCCTTCCCCAAAAAAATCTATATATATATATATATATATATATATATATATATATATATATATATAGTCAAACTATAGAACTGGAATTCAGTGATTTGGCTTTCATATTAAAAAAGAAAAAAGAAAAAAAGAAATGGGTTGTTCGAGAATACAGCCTTAGAGATCTTTTATAACATCTGGTTAAGATTCCTTGCTGGGATCCTGTTCTATCTTTAAACCTTCAGTGAGATGTACAGTGCTTGGATAGAACCACACCTTAGGCTGGAATAAGTCTCAGCTCAGATGTTGTTCCTTGCAGGAAACTTTCTCAGACTCCCAAGCCCAGGATAAATGTCTCTCCAAAGTGCTCTCCAAGCCTTCATGACACTGAATTGAAATTGCCTGTTTACTTGTTGTCAATACCCAACTAGGCTGTAGGCTCTGTGACGGCAAGGACCGCATCTGTCTTGTTTACCGACATATACCTTTGTCTAGTCCAGTGAACGGCATATAGTACGTCCTCCATAAATAGTTATTGAATGAATAAGTAGGTGGGATTGGTCAGAGAAGGATTCCTGGAGGAAAACGCAAATGTTGATTCAGATTTCACAATCGACAAGGAGGACAGAGTTGTCCCTGGTTGGGTGAACTGACTATGCAAAAGGAAGTCTTAAAGGAAAAATGGGCAATAGGAAGAGGGAGGGAAGTAAGGCAACTGAGAAGAAACAAAAGAGAGAGAGAGGACTCCTTCAAGATTATGGCCTTTGCTAACCTAGGAGGGCTTCTTGGTAGAGGGGAGAAATAGGCTCAGCCCTGCTGGGTTAAGAGGAAGTGGTTGTGAGCACCTAAAATCCCTTGAGTCTTTTTATGGGGAGGAACCCAGAGGGCAGCTTGGGTGGAGGGGAAGGAAGCTGACAGAATAGCTAGTAGGAGCTTTGAAGCCTGCCTAGAGGTTTGAATTTGGTGCTGGGGTCTGGAGGAAATGGGAATTCTGGGAAGGCCTGGGGCTCAGAAAGAAAAGAAGGTGAGGGGCAGCTTCTTTCTATTGACCCCGCTATTAGGTTGAGAACTTGGGATAGGGCCTATGTGTACTGTTTGTCCTTTTTCTCTTCCAGGTGTCTGGGCACCTGGGATCCACTAGTAGAGTCCCCTAGGGCAAGGATCTGGAAGTGGCTGAGGCAGCCTGCTGAGTGGCCGTGACATGGCAGGGATTGTGGGAGTTCCCTCATTCCATCAGCCTATCCAGAGGAGTCTCTTTCTCACCGAAGATGTAGTTCCTGCAGAAGTGCTCAAGCTGTTTCCAAAGTCCTTTACCAATCTCCACCTGAACTATTGTAGTTTTTGCCAGAGACTGCTAAGCCAGCTCTGGCCACCAGGGGGCAAAAAAGCAGCCCTTAGGTCCATCTCCATTTCCTCACCGACACACACCTGAGGGCCAAGATGGGCGGTGCCTCACCTGGCTCCAGAGCCTGGTAGCCCCGTTAACCCTTTCCTGCCCGTTCTGAGGTACTTCCTTCAGGCAGTCATTCAAAGCATAATTGGGGGGCATATCTGATGGAGGGGGTGTTGCAGAGGAGAGGGGCTAGTGTGGAGGTGAAGTTAGGGTTTCCAATCACTCAGGCCCTTGTCCTAGTTGGAGCTGGGGGAGCATAGAATTTCCTGCCTCCGTTGGGTAGCTACCACCCACCCACCCCTCACCATAGGTGAAGGAGGCCTCTGGAGGCAAGAGAGGCAGGGGCTGTGGTTACCTGAGCTGGGCCTCACAGGCGGGACATTGAGGGGAATGCTGAAGAAGCCACAGAACCGAGTTCCGGGTTCCCGGCAGCCTTCTATCATTCAGGACCCTCTGCAACACTAGTAATTCGGGTGGTGATGGGAGGGTGGCCAAAGGGTGGAGGGAGAGACACAGAAGACTGGGAAGGAGGGAGGGTAGACAGTTACTTTTTGGCAAGAGAGCGGACCAGATTACGCAGCTCTCAGGTGGCGGGTTTTGTGTGTCTCTCCTCGAGTACTAGGCAGCCTTTCAGAGCTCTGACCAGCCCAAGTTCCGAGATTGGGTTCCGGGTCACAAGGTGTTAAACTGTGGGTGGGAGTGGGGTCGAAAGTCACTCCCTCCTTCCCTCCCTCACAGCGTCACCACCTCGGCGTCCACCAGGCTGGCACTTAAGGAGTTAAGTCTGCCCGCAATCTTCAAGACTGGTGCCGGGGAGGGGGTGGAGGAGGAAGGGGAGGGGGTAGAGAAGGCGAAGGGGGAAGTAGACTGCAGGGAGACAGCGCCAGGAACCCCCTCCCCAGGGACCTGGCCCCGGGCCCCCAGCCCCAAACCAGGCCCTGCCCTCCCCGGGGTCGTGCTCTCCTCCCCAGCCCTGCCCCCGCCCTCCAGCTTTGTGTCCCCAGGAGGGTGGGCTACAGGATTTCCAGCCAAGCCTTGGCTGCCTGCTCAGTTTTTCCAAACCCTCCAGTCGGGGAAGGCGGGAGCCCTGTCAGGATAAGAGTCCCTCCCCCACTGCCCCTGCCGGCCCTCTCTCCCAGCCTCCGGTTTCCTGCCCCCGCACCTTTTCCAAACTTCTTTCCCTTTCCGACCCTGGCCCCTGAGCCCCCATCCCCGTCTCTATTCGCTCCCAAGTTCCAAGTTCAGGTTGTAGGGGCCAGGTGGGTCCCAGAATCCTGGAGGTGCTGGTAAAACCATACTCTGCAGGGCGACCCTGAGACCTGCTGGGCGCCAGTCCGACTCCCAGCCAGGCGCCTACTCGATCCCGGGACGTGGCCCCCAGGCCACCTGGAAAGGTAGCCCAGGAGTCTCCCGCCCAGGATGGAGGCGGTGCAGGGGGCGCCGGTAGAGCTGGGCAGCAGGCTCTGTGCGGCCGGTGCCAGGCCCCGGGCAGACTTCGAGGAGGAGCAAAGTGTTCCGAGCGCTGGCACGGCTCTGTCCAGCAGGTCTATTATATAATAATCACCATCTATCAGGAAGCCAGGCAGCTGGAGTAAGTGGGGAAGCCAGGATGCCCGGACGGTCCTCCTCCAGGCCCAGAAAGGTGTCTCCACCAAGCTGGGGATGTTGGAGCAGCCCAGAAGTGAAATGTTGTGGGGGTCGAGGGGCTAGTGAGGGGCGACTGGCAGTCCCACTGGCGGTCTCGCAAACCCCGCCCCCAGAACTCTGACTGACAGTGCCTCGAGCCAATGATTGAAGTCACTGTGGAGCTCACAGTTAACCCTTTCTTGGGTTCCTACTTGCAGGAGTCCCTTCCCAGAAACCGAATCCCATCCAGTCCTGAATCCCTCCCACTACACGAGGTCAGTGGGGAGTACCAGCTGGAGGATCCTTGCGTCCTAGTCACTGCATAATCAGCAGTCCTAGCGCCTCCCTCAGCGCCCCCCCCAGCCCCAAAGTAGATTGTATTACAAGATGTGGTTGTATGTGTACACTCCGCGATTCCAAAACAGGCCCGCGTGGCGTTGTTACACCCACACTGCGCTATAAACAGGCACCCTCATACACCTATACCCATGCCAGCACTTCCACCGACACTCGCTGACACACCTGTGACAGAGACACAAGGAACACACGGTGGTTCCCTGAGTTGGCCAGTAGAGGGAGCCTCTCGATTCCATCAGTTGGCCGTCGGCTTCTCTCAGCCTCTCCTCGCTCAGCCCAGGGTTCCACCCTGAACCCTTGGCTGCCCGGGAGTTCAGCTCTGCATCCCAACCTGGAACCTGCGCTGGGGGAATGAGTCACTGCCCCGCCCAGGAGAGCGCTGTACGTGGCTGTTCCATAAGACATGCCGAATATAGTTGAACTTACTGTGTACCACATTTAAGAGACCCTTTGCAGCACAGCCATCACTCACCCCCACAAACATTGTGTTCTGGACATACTGGGAACTGGGCATTGTGCCAAACAGATCATAACAAGCCCTTATGGCTTATCATGTATGTAACGGGAGACTGATCCACGTAAATCCACCCTTCCTTATAACAAGCATCCTGTTTGAGAAATGGCCGTCTTGCCTTGTAGCTCATATTATATACCTACAGGACCCTGGAGAGAGGAGAGAAAATTAAACCCTACTTCCATGGATTAGGTACTGTCCTAGGCCCTGGGATCTTTCACTCACCCTATCAGAGCTTCAGTTTTCTTTTCCTTTAAGTGGGAATAATAACTAACTCATAGGGTTGTGATGAGTCAACCCCTTAACACAGCTCAGCTTCAGCTCGGTGCTTGGCATAGCAGTTAGTATGTACTTGGGGAAGTTTTGTTGACTGGATCAAAGCATGATCAAGAAATAATGTGTATGAAAATGCTTTGTAAATTGTGATGTTAGGCACCCACAGGGATTATTATGTTATCTTCTTTCAGGGTTTGTCCCCCTTCTCCTGTGCTTCCCCAGACCTGGCCCAGTGCCCAGCTGCTGGCATCATCTGCCCATCAAGTGAATATTTATTGAAGCCCTACTATGAACCCAGCACTTATACAAGTAGGTACCCAGTTGGATGGCATAGATGTAATAGGTGGTCAGAAGACAGGGAGGTAGATGGTGGCTAGAGCTCTCTGGGGACCATCTCTGTGAGGAGGGATGGGAAGCCAGCAGAGGAATTAAATAATAGCAGGAGCAAACAGGCTTGCCAGCCCTGTTCCCTTCTGAAACAGTCAATACTTGTTACTTGTTGGTATTAATTCTGGGAGGGTGGGGGCAGTGGGATACAGGGAAAGTGCCTCAGGATAAGGAGACCCAAATTCTAGTCCTGGGCTTACCACTTTCTAGTTGTGTAACCCTGAATAACTCCTTAACTAATGTAAACCCCAGTTTCCTTACCAGTGTAATGGGGCCATAATATCCTTCTCACGGGTTTGTGGTAAACATTGAATAAACACGTGAAATGTTTTAAAAAGTACTTTACAATTTCTTTTTCATTGCAGCTACTCCCATATAGGGTCTTGTGTGTGTGTGTTAGGAGAGAGTTCTTTGGAGAAGACAAAGGTTTCACTTCCACAAACATTTTCTTAGCATCCAGTTTGTGCAGAAAATTGAGATGAAGAAAATCACTCTATGTCCTCAAGAACTTCATGGTCTACTAGGAAAGAGATCAATAAAGGAGATGCTCAGAGCATAATGAATGTGGGTGGGTACAATGAAGAGGGGACCCAGTAGTGTGTGTGTGTGTGTGTGTGTGTGTGTGTGTGTGTGTGTGTGTGTGTGTGTGTGTGTGTGTGTGTGTGTGTGTGTGTGTGTGTGTGTGTGTGTGTGTGTTGGAGGTTGAGGGAAGCCAAGGGAAGCCGCTCTTTCCAATCAGTGTAGATAGGAGGGTAGGGTAGGTTGTCAAACCTCACCCTACCCTTGGATGTTGTTGGCGCGTTTCCTCCCCCGTTGGGAATGGGGAGAAGAGAAGGGTAGGAGCCCCCTCCCTACCCCTGAGCCAACCTGCCTCCGCGCTAGCCCGCCGGGCGCCTTACCGAGTCAGACCACTGGGAGGCTGGGGGAGCCGGGTTGGACGAGGAGGCGAGCGAGATGGGGGAGCTCTTATTTTGACAGGGGCCTCTCCGGGCTTTGGTATGAAGGCAGAAGGAGGCAGCCAGAGAGCCCCGATGCTTATTCAGGCTGGGGAGAGGAGCCGAGTAGAGGGGCGAGCGAGGCTCCGGCAGCGCAGGGGAGCCCGGGGAGGCGGCGGCGCACGGCGGAGCCAGTGGCCGGACATGCCCCGGACTCGGGGCTGCTTCACCACCGCCGCCGCCCGGAGCCAGCCGGCCGGACGCCCGCACGCTTGGGTCCCTTGGCGCCACGCCACCCGGGGGCTGCGACCCGGACCCTCGGCGTTCGACCAACAATAAGCGCCCAGACAGCCCCCTCCCCTCCCCACGCCCGCAGTCCCTGTGGGCCTCGGGGAAAGTGAAAGGAGGAGGCGAAGCAAGGAAGGAAGGAAGGAAGGGAGGAGGAGCAGGAGCCCGAGCCTTGAGGTTCGGGGCCGAGACCCCAGCCCCGAGCCCGGGGCCGGGCGGGTGTGCGCGCTCTTCCGCCGCTGCCCGGCGTCCACGACCATGCTCCGCGGTTGCGAGGCAGGAACCTAGGCGCCGAGCGATCCCCGGATACCCTCTCCCGGGCCGGGCTGATTGAGATCAAGGCGTCCAGGATCAAAAGATCACCGCCTGCCCGCCGCTCTCCGTACCTTCAACTGGCAAGCAGAAGGACCCTAATCCACCCACCGACCCTGACCTGGTCATGGCATCCAGTTCCGGCCTGGCTTGAGGACCCCCGGCCAGCTCGAGGTGAGGGGTGAGCTGGGGCTAAAGGCGAAAGTCATGCCAAACCAGCCGAGGCGCGAGGAGGGAGATCCAGTTCGAACTGGGGAGGGGAAACATAGTCTGATTGTCTCTTGCCCTCTGGTATGCACCCTGAGCTGTTTAAGGGGTGGGGGCGCCCCCAGGGTTAGTGGAGGTTACTTTTGGGCCCCCAAACAGGTTGGCAGCCCCAGAGCACAGTGGGGAGGGCTTAGGGGCAGACAGGAGACCCTGCCACCCTAGCGCAGAGAACAAGGCCGGCCTTGGGCCAGCTGGAGTAGCAACCCTGCCCTGGGGGCTTCTGGGAGATGTAGTCCCCCTCTCAGGCTCACCAACCCGTTGGGTCTCAGCACCCCAGCACCCTTCCTCTGGCTGATAGGAGACTCCAGAGGAAGTGATTGGGTTTGGGGATTGCTGGGTCACCCTCTGCCCCCAAACACTGCCTAGGAGCAGCAGGGGCTCCTCAGCCAAGGATTCTTAGTGGTGTGAGCTTGGTTGGGGGGTGGGGCAGTCACACAGTTCCTCAGAGGTGTCCCTGCACTGCTAAGGAAAGGTGGCCCCTGCCTTGGTTCTAAAGAGCCCTTGGGGGAAGGTTATGAGGGAAGAGAAGTGAGGCTTAGGGCTTCTTGCTTGGCTGGGGTATGTTCTATCTCAGGGCTGCTGTGTTTTGGTTTCAACAGAGATCAATGTCTACTCTCCCTTTCTCCCTCTTGGGAGCTGAGGAGAGTGTCCCTCACAGTCTGGGAATCTGGAGGGTGTCTCTATGGAACAGTAAAGCCAGGATCAGCTTCTGTCTGTCTGTCCAGCTTCCTTCCTTCCGGGTTTTTCTGACACCCCCTCCTCCCTCTTCTTTTTGTGTGTTTGCTGCTTGGGGTGTGTGTCTGTGTCTGGGGTGGGGGGCCCTCTGATGCAGAGAAGAAAAGTGTTGCTCTGGGAGAGGTGAGCTGGGCATATGATTGAGTCCTGGGATAGGGGCTTGGAGGCCTTCTTGATGGATGGCCTTGTTTTCCTGTCTTACCTAGGAATGCTGTCTTCTCACTATCTGCTGTAACCCTGCTGATGCCTCTAGGCAGCTCTCCAAATGAGACCTCCAGGATGGGTGGGCTTTCATTCTACTCCCCTTGTTCTCCCTTCTCCTCAGCCTTTCCAGGGAGCAGCCACTTCTGGGCCAGGGCTGCCTGGCTCCTCTGTTGCCCCCCAAGTACAGGCTTGGCTGCCTTCTCTGGGTCAGGACCATGATTTCATGGCTCTAGGGGAAGAGCATGTTCAGGCCCTATCTTTCTGGTGTCAGCTCTGAGGTGCCTGCTGATAAAAGCCTCAGGACAGGGTGAGGATGGCAAGGAAGGTGAGTGGTTGGCAGAATCTGGTGCCAGGAAGGAAGGTGCTGCCTCCCCCAGGTGATCAGGCTCCTTGGCCTGGGAGAAGACCCAGGCTTGAAGGTCAGCCTTCTGACCACCTCCCTCGAGAAATTCTCTGCTTACCTGTGTTGCTCCTCATCGGGGTGGAGTGGGGGTTAATGTTGTAAAGGGCACTGGTGAGTGGTAGAATACCTACAACCTTGGATCCAGCATAACTCTTATGCTGGGAGTAGCAGGGGGCTTTTGGCTAGAGATGGATTCAGGAGGTTCATATGGAGGCTCAAAATGTGAGGCTGTAATCCTGGGGCTGAGGGTCAAGGTGGGAAGAGATTATAGAGTCCTGGAGAAGGATCCATGGTCCACAGAAATCTGGGACTAGCACACAGTGGTAATGTGGGACCTAGTGAACTTACTTGTTGAATCTGTATTGGGCACCTATGACTCTAT